TCTTAGATAGTAGTTAAAGGAGGATGAATGTGACTATGTGGTATGTGGACCCCATGCTTTAGAGAGTGAATTTGGAGTGCACCATTTTGGATACCCTAAAGATTGGCGGAGAGTACTATTGAGTACTATTTGGTCCCATTATACCATATTTACTCTCCAAAATGTGGAGAGTTGGAAAAGTCTGACAGTACTTTACATTTAATGAGGCCAGTGTACATGCTCTAAACATATAAAGTGGACCCGCAATTTATTTTATTATCTTTTATTATGTAAGAAACATTAGCCACTTTTTTAAGTTTTTTTTATATTCATTTCAATAATAGTTATTATGATGTTTCTTTGATGGGTTTCAAAGAAATAAATTTTTAGTTTTTAGAGTTCTATTTAATTATCTGTAATAATAAAAATTAATTTCGAATACTTTAAATTGTACTTAAATAAATTTAATTATAATAGATGAACATTTCTTACTAAGATTATTTTACTTTATACCAAATGAGATTTTTTTTATTACTAAAATATAAATAATTCTATCAATCCAAGAAAATAATTATTTCATTAATTTACAATGCCTATATTTAGTTAGATATATCAACAAATTTTAATCAATATTAATAAAGTGAATGTAACTTTAAATTGGACATTAATAAAAACCTATTACAATATAAATTACGATACAATATTAAAAAAATTAAGAAATTACAACTCACATATGAAAATAAGAAAGCAAAGCACATTATTTAACCCTCATCTTCTGTAAATATACTTCACAAATGATTCGTAAGATCGGATCGCAAGACTTCATTAGTTCCCCGATTGCGAATTCGACCAAGACGTGCTGAGATGTAAGACGCAAGAATTGATGGATCTCGACCATATTCGGGAGGAAAAATATTTTCTTCAGGTAAAGGTTCCACAATTCGTATTTAGTTTCGCGTTAATCTTCTATAAGCATATTATGAAGGATAATGCCAGTTTTCATTATCTTACAGAGATCTTCTTTTGATATATATCGTACATGTTCTTGTGTTATGCCCCACCTGATTTGTAAAACCCCAAATGCATGTTCCACATCTTTTCGTACAACCTCTTGTTTTGTAGCAAATAATGTTTCTTTTGCATTGGTCGGATAATGAATGGTTTGAATGAAGGTAGAATATTTTGGGTAAATACCATCGATTAAGTAATATACCATTGTATAGGAAAGTCCATTCACTGTATAATTGATCGGACATTCTACCATATATGAATTTGTCGAATAATGGCGAATGATCTAAGACATTAATATCATTATTTGCACCCACCCTGCCAATAAATGAATGTCAAATTCAAAGGTAATGTGATACAACTGCTTCTAAAATTAGAGTTGGTTTGTAATGGTGACCTTTGTGTGTGCCGTGCCAACCAGTTGGACAATTTCCTATTCCCAATGCATACAATTTAAAGAACCAAGCGCACCTAGAAAACCTCGTGATTTGCCTTCTTGAGGTAAACATGCAATATCATGGTCATTTGGCAAGCGCATGTACTGTTCCTCGTACAATTCAATTATCGAGGAACATAAAGTCTTTAAGCTCATTATTGCAGTTGTCACCCCAATCTTTAGATATTCATCAGAATTATATGCAGACAAACCATAAGCAAGTGTACGAAGTGCAACAGTTATTTTTTGAATAGTTGATAGGTCAAGGCGGCCATGAAAATCTTTTTCTGGTGAAGTATGAATTATGATTTTGAACATCATTCAAGATACGAAAAAATAACTCTTTGCGCATCCTATAACATCTACGAAAATAATCATCAGGATAAGTACAATTATCAGAAAAATAATCATACCACAATTGTTGGTTACTTCTTTCACGATCACGATTAATATTTCACTGTTACGATGATTGTTCTGCGTGTGCTTGATATATTCGAGGAATAAAATTAAGCATCTCTTGAGTCTCTTTCTCGATACGAATGGAAACAAGCTCTTCATTCTTTGAAGATGCATATGAATAACTTGATGATTGAAAATATGTAACTCGTCTTGTGGAAACCATCCAGATGATGAATCTATAATTTGGGATATGGAAATTTTTGTTTATATATTTTTTGAGTTGGTATATTTGTGTGAAAGGAAGAAATTATTTATACACAAATATTTGATTAAAAGTATTTGTGGAGTGATAAGATCATGGGTGAATTATTTCTTGGGAAAAGTGTAGGTTATGAGTGATAATATATTGTTATAGAGGATAAGAAAGTGATGTGAATAGTTTTTTTGCAGAAGATAAGATATGCCATTAAGCAATCGTTTCCCTTTTCTTTTAGCAAAATGTTAAACTGCTATATTTTAGGAAAAAAGTGCCATGAATAATATATTCGTATATTTTCATTTTCTTTTAGCTAAAATATTATATATTGATTATATTTTTGAGAAAAAAGTCATGAATAATCTCTTCAGATGACAAGACATATCATCAAACAATTAAATTGTTTTTAAGAAAAATATTATGATATTGTTTTTCGTGGAATGTGCCATGGATAATCTAGCAGGCTGATAAGATTAGTTAAAATGTTATGATATTATATTTTGAGAAAAGTGCATGACTAATATCTTCAGATGACAAGATGTGTCATCAAACAATTAAATCTTTTTTTTTTAACTAAATGTTTATAAGCTATTATTTTTGAAACAAAAAATTGCCATGAATAGGCAAGTTGTGGGACCTGATTGACGCGGAATTTATAAAAATTCTAAAAGAGAATCCTGGTAGAAACTCAGATGGGCTAATGAATCGATGGTCAACAATCCACTTAAGCATTACTAGCTAAATTTTCTGAATATGACAATATGATTGAATGGGCTCCAATAAGTGGACAAAATGAAAAATAATGTAAGTAAACTAGAAAATTATGTTTCGATATATATATATATATATATATATATATATATATATATATATATATATATATATATAACAATCATGTGATCTACAAGAGAAGAAGAAAAGGATGTCTCAAAAAAAGAGAGCATAAATTAATTTGGATGATGATGATATTGGAGATTTCACTAATGCCCAAACTCCGTCAAGTGAGCAATCCACACCTAGTGAGACTCCAACCTCAATTAGTCTTGACGATGAAGATGAAGTATCTAATATTATTAATTCAACTGGCCTAGTATGTCCTTCTGGTAAAAAAATGTGCAAAAAGTTGAAAAAAATATATATGTATTTTTTATTAATTCCGTGGACTTATTTACAGAAGAGTTTCTTAATATGAGAAAAGAAGTATCGAGTTGGTTTCAAGAAGATGGGAATATAAAACATGCAATAGAACAATAAAAGTTACAAGCGAAAATGGAATCAAGAAATTTACAGCTACAAGCTTAAAAGGAAAACCGAACAAATGAGAATTGCAGCAATGAAAGATCAAGAACATAAACGGGTTGAGAAAGAATAATGATGATTGATCCCAATTCAGCTCCTACAGATGACAACAAAGAGTAATCATAAGTCGGGCACATATAAATAAGTCAACGCTTACGGGGCATAATAATTAGTGTACTATATTTCTTGTAATTTTTGTTGATGTCTTTTATTAGTTGGAGAGATGTTCCTATAATGTTATTCAACTATTTTGTAATTCTTTTTTAGTTATTAATATTTATGTCACTTTTATGTGAGTTGTTAATTTTCATATTATTAATTATTTTTATATATCATAGAAAATAAAAAAAAAATAAAAAAAGAAAAAGAACACAACGTAAATCGCAACATGATTAAACGCTATTTTTTTTTACATGAATAAACCTAATTTTAAAATCAATTTAATTATACAAAAAAATATTTTTTAGATTTTCAATTTAATTATAACAAATTTATTAATTAAATCTAAAAAAAAAAACTTGAAAATTTAATTTTGTATTTTTTTATATTAATAATGAATATTTTTTTATAGTTTAATATTTGGAGAGGCATTTTGGAGAGCAACAAAGTGACATTCATTGGAGCAATTTTGATTTGGAGAGTGATTAATGTGTGACCCATTTTTAGAGAAGAGTTAAAGGGAAGGAAAATTAGTATGTGGCATGTGGAGCCCACTATTTAGAGAGGGTTTTTTTGGCTAGTCTATTGTAGATGATCTTAGAGCATCCACAATGGAGCTCTCCAAACCATGGGGTCCACATGCCGCATACCCACATTCATCCTCCTTAAACTCCTCTCTAAAAATAGGTCCCACTTACACACTCTCCAAATTAATTTTTGCTCCAATGGGTACATTTTGGCCCTCTCTAAAATAGCTCTCCAAATATTAAATTATAATAAAATATTCATTATTAATATAAATATTATATAATTCTGATATAATTAAAAATAAATATATATTTTGATAAATCAAATCTAATTCTTGATTATTAAAATTCTTGATTTTTGGTAATAATTCTGATATAACTAAAATTTAAAAAATAAATTTTCAAAATTTATATATTTAATTGATAAATTTGATAAATTCTTGATTAATTTAATTTTTCATTTACGCCATCTTATCTAATATTTTATAATTTTTAATTATGTTGTGAGTTATTTACAATAACATAAATTAACATAAATAATAAAAACACAAAATATTATAAATAATTAGCATAAAAATGTTGGAACATCCCTCCAACTATAGGCATAAACAAAAAAAAAAATACGAGCATACTAGGAAATTAATTATTAAGATCTGTGAATGTTGACTTACTTTTTCGTGCACGACTTATGTTTTCTCTTTGTTGTTCAAGGATCCAAGTTTGTTGATCAATAATCCATTTTTTACCCTCAAGTGTAGGTGCTGACTCGGGATCGATCATCATTATGTCTTTCTCAAATCGTTTCTTTTCTTGTTCTTGCATTGATGCAATTCTCATCTGCTCGGTTTCTTTTTGAGCTTGTAGCCTCATTTGTTTTGCTTCCATTTTGGCTTGTAACTTTTGTTGTTCTCTTGCAGTTCTTCTAATGGCTTCTTCTTCGAACTAACTTGATGTTTCTTTCCTCATATTAGCGAACTCCTTTGCAAATAAGTCCATGGAAGGAAGACTTTTCTTCTTTTTTGTAGGACCTTTTACAATTTTGCGACCATCAGGACGTACTAGTCCAGTTGAGTCGTGATTAGATAATCCATCTTCATCATCAAGGCTAACTGAGGTTGGAGTCCCAGTAGGGGTGGATTGCTCAGTTGATGGAGTTTGTGCATTGGAGGACTCTCCAACGTCATCATCATCATCCAAATTAATTTCTGTCCTTTTTCTTTGAGAAGTTCTTTTCTGTTTTTCTCGTTGGTCGTTGACATGACGGTACCATTTTGAAGTGTCCTTCAGAATTAGCCAACAAGTCTCCCACTTAAAATGATGATTTTCTTTCTCAAAATATAATATTGTTGCTGCTCCCATCTACAGATAAAACTTGAAATATAAATACTTGACTTAAAAAATTTTGTAAATACATATATATATAAAAGTGAATGAAACATAATTTTTTTTCCATTTACTTACATTATCTTCGGCATTGTATCCACTTATACGAGCTCGTTCAATCACACTGAGGTATCCCGAAAACTTGCTAACGCTTTGTTGAATGGTCGACCACCGATTCATTAGCCCATTTGAATTTCTGCCAACATCTTGTTTTAAGTTGTTTATGAATTCCATTCTAATTCGGTCCCATAACCTCCCTCTCTGTTGATCTGTACCGACTACTGCATCTTCAGAAATATGTAACCAAGATTTACACAATGCTTCATCCTCTTGTATAGTCCAGTTTGGCTGTCGCTCTCTTTGCCCTTGTCCTCTAGAACTCTTCTTGCTTGATGTATGTGGGGTTTGCATTTGCTCTTGAGTTGGAATTTGAGTTGAACCTGCAAAAACAAAAGGATTAAATGGAAATTGTGAAAATTGTGAATTGGTAGAATAAGGATTAAATGTTTGAGACTCATTTTGTGTTGGTGGCTGACTATATAGGGGATGCATATTAGGATTGAAATATTTGTATGGATCCATGATTTAGATGTAAAATGAAGGTGAATTTGTGAGTTTTCATCATCAATATAAGACTACTATTTATAGTGGAGAAAAATAATCCACCAATTATCATAACACTTAGCCCGAAAAATAATATACACACTATCTTATCCCTGCAAAAACCATGGCACTTTTCTCGAAAAACAATTCACTCAATATCTTATCTCTGGAAAAATCAATCCAATCAATATCTTATCCCTGCAAAAAATTAAATTGCTATCTACCATTAACTCTGCAACAAAATAATTCATCCACTATGATAACACTTTCCCGATAAACCAATTTAATAAATATCTTATTGCTGCAAAAATCATGGCACTTTTCTCAAAAAATAATTCAGCCATTATCTCTGCAACAAAATAATATCTCTGCAACAAAATAATTCAGCCACTATGATAACACTTTTCCCGAAAAATGAATTTAATCAATATCTTATCCCTGCAAAAAATCAATTTAATCACTTTCAACCATATCTCTGCAACAAAATAATTCATCCACTATGATAACACTTTTCCCGAAAAACCAATTTAATAAATATCTTATCCTTGCAAAAATCATGGCACTTTTCTCGAAAAATCAATTCAATCAATATCTTACCCCTGCAAAAAGTTAAATTACTACCTACCATTATCTCTGCAACAAAATAATTCAGCCAATATGATAACACTTTTCCCGAAAAATGAATTTAATCAATATCTTATTGCTGCAAAAAATCAATTTAATCACTATCAACCATATCTCTGCAACAAAATAATTCACCCACTATGTTAGCACTTCATCTTATCCCTGCCAAAAAAAAACATGGCTTGTTCCCAATAAATTAATTCACTCCATGATTTTCCACATGGCCTTGTTCCCCATCCAAACCAGTTTAAACTCATAATAAATAGTTTCTTCATGTGTAAAGTTCTATTAAATAAAAAATAGAATGGCTTCTTCATCTGGATGGTTTCCAGAAGATGAGTCAACATTGTTTCAATCATCAAGTTCTTCATCCACATCCTTAGAGGATGAAGAGCTTTTTTCCATTCGTATGAGGAGAGAGACTCAAAATATGCTTAATTGTATTCCAATAATACATCAAGCATATACAGACCAATCATCCCGTCGACAGTATATTAATCGTGATCGTGAAAAAAGTCATCAGCAATTATGGGATGACGATTTTTCTGATAATTGCACTTATCCACCTGATTTTTTTCGCAGGCGTTTTAGGATGCGTAGAGAGTTATTTCTTCGTATCTCGAATGATCTTGAAAATCATAACTCATACTTCATCCGAAAGAGAGATGCTATTGGCCGCCTTGGTCTATCCTCTATTCAAAAAATAACTGCTGCACTTCGTATACTTGCTTATGGATTTTCTGCAGATCATTGTGATGAATATTTCAAGATTGGGGAGACGACTGCATCAACGACATTAAAGATATTTTGTTCCTCGATAATTGAATTGTACGAGGAACAATACATGCGCTCACCAAACGAATATGATATTGCTCGTTTACTTCAAGAAGGTGAATCGCGAGGATTTCCAGGTATGCTTGGTTCTTTAGATTGTATGCATTGGGAATGGAAAAATTGTCCGACTGCTTGGCATGGCACACATAGAGGCCGCCATCATAAACCGACTTTAATTCTAGAAGCAGTTGCATCCCAAGACCTGGATTTGGCATTCATTTTTTGGCATGGCAGGTGGTAATAATGATATTAATGTCTTAGATCATTCTCCACTATTCGACCAACTCATATATGGTAGAACGCCTCCAATTAATTATACAGTGAATGACCATTCATATACAATGGGATATTACTTAACCGATGGTATTTACCCCAAGTATGCAACTCTCATTCAAACGATTCCTCATCCTGTAGAAAAATTATTTGCTCGAAAACAAGAGGCTGTCCGAAAAGATGTAGAACGTGCATTTGGTGTGTTACAAATTAGATGGGGCATAACACAAGGGCCTGTACGCTATTGGTCAAAAACAGATCTATGTGACATAATGAAAACTTGTATTATCCTTCATAATATGATTATAGAAGATGAACGAGAAACTGAATACGACGTATGGAAACCTTTGCCAGAAGAAAATATTTTTCCTCCCGAATATGGTCGAGATCCATCAATTCTTGTGTCTCACATCTCGGCGCGTCTTGGTCGAATTCGCAATCGCCGAACCAATGAAGTCTTGAGATCTGATCTTACAAACCATTTGTGGAATATCTTTGGAGATGAGGAGGCTTAAATAATGTACTTTTCAATGTTGTCTTATTTTCATACGTGAGTTGTAATTTCTTTACTTTTGTCTGTTTGTATCCGTAATTTATTTTGTAATCCTCGAATTGGTATAATTGCAATATATAATTAGCTTAATTTATGACATTTTATCTATTCATTTTATCTATTCATTGTCATCTTATCTTATCTAATCTTTTATAATATTTAAATTAATTACATTATAACATTGCAAAGTTTTTTTAAAATTTAATTATATTTTAAAACATGTACATAAATAATAAACAAAATAATGAAACCTTTTTTTTCTTTTCAAATAATAATAATCAAAAGAAAATGTTTTGAATTAATTATAAACAACATTAATTAGCATAAATAGTACTAACCACATAACATATTTTAAAATTAGTTTTTAATTAAATGTACAATGCAGTTTTACGGAATTAATTAACTTTATGTCATTTTATTATCATATTAAAAATATTATTGAAATTATCATAAATGTAATACATTGATTGACAAAGCTTGTTTTTTTTATTATTATTATTTGAAAGAATAGAAATGTAAAGAAATAAGAAAACAATAAAAAAAATGGGAAGAGAACACATGGTCCCATCATTTGCTTGTTAAGTTGTGTGTTAACTGTGGCGAGCACAGTAGAGAGTCTTCCAATTTGGAGAGCCACATGGATCCACAATTCCTCCCACTGCATCACTCATGCTCTCCAAATTTTGGAGATTACTAATTTTCTGACACAAAAATGTGGTTGGAGAGCCCCACTGGGGATGCTCTTAGAGGTTTAGATAAGATATATTGAACCCCCAAAAAACAGAAAAAAAAATATATAGAATCTCCTCCACAAGATATTCTTAACAAGATATTTAATTTTATTTCTTGAAAGTTCCTATGCAATAGAAAATGACATAAATTCATGCATCTAAGAGCAATTCCAATGCCAAAATATCAAAATTTAATTATCAAATATTCATTTGAGCAATTAGATAATATTTTAGTATTAATTAAAATTCATCTACTCAACAATTAATTATCAAATATTTTATTTATATAAACTAATTTATGTAAACAAACACGTACACATTAATTACAATTAATTGCGTACCTTTTTTCTTCCAATCACCGTCAAATAGGCTCGCATATATTATTAATTTAAATAACATAAATTGAATCATTATAGCATGCTCGCAAAATTAAATCAAATAATAAACATGCTCAACAAACGATTCACATAAACACATAATCGAACATATAAATTCATGTGATTCAGTAATAAATTAACATACATTAATCTCAATTAATATAAAATAATTAATATGTATTAATTAGAGAAAACGCAACTTTATGCTTTAAGCGTGAATCGAACGAAGAATCGAGAAGAGGGATAGTTGGTCTTCCGACTCCTACTAACCCGACTGTTGGCGGTGGTGCAGCGGATCAAAACAGTTTGCTTATCTGAAATTTCAGGCCTACTCCGATTTCAATATATCCTTGACTATTCATTGGATGGACAATTCCTTGGAACAGATTGTAGATCTGAGAGTTTTGAAGCATCTGTCCATATTTCACGTCATTCCGATCATTGATTAATTTGTTGTCAATTTTCTCGCTAAACTACGCAGAAAATGCGAGAGCAGATTTTCAGAATTGCCTTCTCACATCACCGGCTTGTGGCGTGGCGTGGCGGCGGCGGTAGAGGCAGAAGACTCCTCATCCTTCAAGATTTCACCTCGTATATTCAATCCACTATCTACGCAACACTAGATACGTGATAGGCTAAGTACAACGGAGAAGAACGAGTGAAAAAATAAGATGCCAATGCGACGTCGATTGGCGGCGGCGCGGCGACTGGTGGCGGATGTAGGGTTTCGACTGCAAGGTGGACAGTTGGTGGAGTGACAGATGCTTGGATTTCATTCGTTACTTTATGAGAAACTAACACACTATTTATATAGGGCTCTCAGCAAAACCCTACGGGCTTAAGTTGGACCAAGTCCAACAACTTAAGCCCACTCTGTTTCTCGTCTTGTTTCTAACGAACAAATGCTCGGAACAATAGAACATTTATATTTTCGTGACGAGCATAAAGTTCCTGTCGATACGAGTGCCACTTTACAATTCCTTAATTTCCCAATTTCCGAAATTGGAAACCCTAATTTAGGACCTGACAAATCAGGAAACTTCCCAATTTAGAAAATTCACTAAATTTCCGTCGAATTATTTTCCTCTACTTATTCTCATCCGTAATTAGCAAGTACAAATTTTGGAATTTAATCACATTGACTTCCAATTACACTAAGAGTAACTAATTAATTTTAGTTCGTTGGATTAAGGATCTCAAGTACACGGGAAGTGTGACCCTCGATGGTTCAATGTAAGCTAGCCGTAGGCCCACAACACATTGTGGTTTAAACTCCTCCCTAGAGTTATAATTAAGATGAAGCTTGTTTCAACTTAATTTCCCAACGAATCAAGATTGGTGCCTAACAACTATGCTTCATGATTCCTTAAATACAGATGAAGTGCCTTTTTTTGCAAGAACCGTATGATATAGTTCATGTACGGTACGATCCCTTCAATACATATATCCCGATTGAACTAGAGGCATTAATTCACCGAGACATCTTTATGAGTTCAATAATTGTGTAGACATTCTTGATTATATAATCCGTTCATGTTTGACTTAGAGAAACACATTCTTCTAATTATGACACTTTCAGTTGTGGCCACAAACTTCATGGATTATAAATCAAATGAACCAACAGGACTGCACGAACGAATCAAGCGATCAAATCTCCTACTACAATGTACATACCTTCTATTAGATTTCGGACTGCACAAACACTGACCCTTAGAGCGGTCCTCGATGGGAGTCAAGGACAGGTCACGATACAACTGGTCCTTGTTGGCCGAAAACCTACACGCAAGTGCACGTATCGTACAAGTAATATAGTGGACTATTAAGTCCGGATATCGAACCCACAGGGAATATTTAATTACTTAATCCTAGACGCTAAATTCTACCAATTGCTATCAAGCCCACCCTACACAGTCGAATTTGGAAAAAGGTTAACTAAATTTAAACTAAATTAAAAACAAGCAAAAAACAAAAAAAAAACAATTTAAAACGTAGATTAAATCAAGATAAGCAAGCCTAGGATTTTATTCTTCCACCTATGTGATTATTACTCCCCCAATTCCTTCAATTATGCAAGCAATTAACCCGGATTATTAACCTGAGATGCTAAAATAATCATAACCCGCTTCCGCGTGTATTACGATTCTAATACTCTAGATTCAATTACTATATTCCTATGCAATTAATTCTAGAACACAGCATTAAACACAAATCTCAATAATGGCTACCTAAGAGATTAACTATATTCCTATGTTTATACCACAAAGGCTCTTCTACAACAGTTCTAATTATTAACCCGATCTTCCGATTCATGCGATTAACAATAACATAAAAGCACATAAGTTGATCAAGTTCATGCACTTAATAAAACAAGTAGAAGAAATAATCCGGAATTAAAACTTGCATAAAATCATAGAATTGGGTTCATAAATCCCACATAGGGTTCCAAATAAAATCCTAGAAATAAAGACTTAGCTACTCGTAATTCTTATGATAAATAAAATAAAATAAATAAATAAAATAAGAAAAACTATGCTTGAATCTTCGTTGATCTTCTTTGCTCTTGAATTTGCGTCCCCAGATGCCCTAATTGTGTGCTTGGCTTGGTCTTATATAGGGTGAAGAACTTGGGGAAGAAGGCAGTTTCCTTGTGCAATTAAAATTCCTTTACTGCGCAACTTCGGAGTCTCGGACGGGGGTCCCACGATTTGCACTAAAACTGGGACGGGGGTCCGAGCTTTAAATCTTCAGAATTTTGATTTTTTCACTTTGTACCTAAAATACAAAAATCAACTTTTTAAGCACCAATTATCGTTAAAACACACCAAAAGCTCAAATAAAAAGATACGATAATTAAGCACCAATTATCGTTAAAACACACCTAAAGCTCAAATAAAAAGATACGATAAAGTGTAAAAATATACACTTAATAGTCCTCTAATAAACTCACGGTGATATATCATAGAAACCTCTACACAATTATTGTGAACCACTTAGAGATCTCTAGATTGAGGGAGTTCGGGTAACTCATAAACTTAGAAGCACCCACTTATGTATGCCAATATCACAACACCATTGACTGATGAGACGAATTACACATACACTAAGTGCTAGTCTGAAATGAGAAATGCCGATATCTTCATTAATGGCGTAACACGTTGACTATGAACTATAATTTAATGGTTATTATACTTTTATAATCTCATGATTCTACTAGATATATTTATAGTAATTAAGTAACTGTAAGGACTATATCTATGAAACGACATATATAGAATGTCAAGAGGTATTTATCATTAATACGAAATTGATTATTTATGTGTAGTGTGAGAAAACACAACAATTAGTTGGCTCTTCAGTCCCCTACTCTAACATACACACGAATGGCAGTTATAAACCATCAAGCCCATTCAAAATCCTCATGCAGGGACTGAGGGATGGCAAGCTATTTAGATCGCTCGCAAAACGAGCACCATCCACGTATGACGAACTTCTAAAGCGGGTGGAGAAGTACATCACCATGGAGGAGGCGAGGAAAATGAAGGAGGAAGAGATAGTTGTGACACCTGCTCAGCGGGCCCCAAAGGAGATTTCTCCTCGTAGAAGAGACCTAGTGGGACCTCAGCGGCACGCCCCCGCTTGCGAGGCACCTGTTAAGGAATATAGGAAACCTCGATACACTAGATATGCCATTATCAGTAAGACGCCCACTCAATTACTGATGGCGGTGGAAGGAGGACCTGATACGCGTTGGCCGATGACATACTAATGGACGCTTCCCAAGGGCTCCAATAAGGGAGGGTACTTCATGTATCACAACAGGTATGGCCATCACACTGATGAGGGTAGCCACCTAA